CTTCAGGGTATAAATACTATTTCTCAATTTAATTAAAGACTTCAAATAGCGATGTTTTATTTTTCAGAAGATTTTCAAAACATCAAACTCAAGCAAGAAATGTATGAAATTTTTGAAGCCTTTCCCAAATGTCTAATCATTTGCACTCCCATAAAATTTCACTTGCATCTCCCTTTGGATACTTATATAATGTCACAGGTTTTTATCATTATATTTTCACTGTTAGTACACGGCAACTCCATGAGGGCAAGGCCCACATTTTATTCATTTTGTTATTCCCATTTGCCCAGCATAGTATTTTTTACTCAATGGTCACTCAATAAAAGTATGCTCAAAACACACATTAGTCCTTAGTTTAAATAAGAGTTGCATCCCTGAAGAAAAAAGATATTGATTTCATTTTGATAAATCACACTATCTCTAGTTATTATTTTATAATATTAAAGATAGCTTGTTTTGGTCTTTAACAGACTATTAATCAAGAGTGCCTTTTTGTACTTGATACTTTAATTTCATTTGCCTACAGTGGTTTCCAAGATGGGGGAGGTTAGAGAATATGAATAAACTTTTGGGGGAAATATTAAAAGTAATATCTGTTTTGTAAAATCAGGTGATTTTTCTTTTTCTTTATATTTCCCTTAAATCCTGATTGTTTGAAAAATACTAATAGAAAGATTGAATTTGAAAAACAAAAACCTTAAAAGATCTCAGAATCCTCAATTAATGATGATATGATACTCCTATGATATATGCACAGACTGTGATAAAAGATACTGCATAAAATATGTAGGAATTTAAGGAATGAAGGAAAATAGCATTCTTTTCTCTCTTACTTGGCAGCAGAACCCCTAAAATATGTCACATATAGAACCCCAACATATTAAAATAGAATTGCTGTTTGTCTGATACAAAGAATGCCAATCCTTGCGCTGGGGTTGTGGCTCAGTGGTAGAGCACTTGCCTTGCATGTGTGAGGCACTGGGTTCAACTCTCAGCACCACATATAAATAAATAAAATAAAGGCCCATCAACCACTAATAAAAATATTTTTTAAAAAAAGAATGCCAATCCCTCTTGGTTTACTCCAAATCATCTCTATATGATGCTGTTTATTTAAAATCTTTGTTGGTGACAGTGATAGCCTTAACAGTTTCAGAATCAAGAGCATTCAAAGGTAAATAAGCAAGTAGATGGTATGTGGGCCCATGCATGAGATCCTCATCCATTTTTTTTTTGGTGCTGGGGATTGAACCCAGGGCCTTGTGCATGCGAGGTAAGCACTCTATCAACTGAGATATATCACCAGCTCCCTCATCCCTTTTTCTTCTTTTCACTTGATATTTCTTTCTTCCTTCTCACTTGTGCCTCAAGCTTATTCATAATACCATCAATGCCACACAGACAGATGGATGGCATTTAGAGCTGAGAAAGTTCCTAGACCCTGTACTAAAACTCCAAGAATATGTGGAGGAAGGGAAGATCAGAGAAGACCAGAGTACAATGGGTCTTAATTACTCCAAAGTGTTTACAGGTCAAAGTGTGCAATCAGGTTTGAAGGAAAAATAGGAAGCCAAGGAACAAAAAGGAATAACAATCCATCTTTGCACACCAGTTATAAAGCACACTTGCAATACTGCTAAAAAAAACAATAATCAGTTTTTGGAGATTTGGAAGAGTGATCAATTTTAAACTGAGAATAGTCTACAAGCTGGAAAATGGGTGTTTACAATGGTTAATGCTATGTTCTGAATGCATCAAATTATTATTCTATGGTCTATTTCTTGTCTAGTAAAAAGAAAATTGTTACTATATTCTTTGAAAGTACTAGAAGGCACTCCTCATAACATCTGGCAATTTCTTATTTTCTTGATTCAAAAGCAATCAAACATGTTTTAAGGATTTTCGATATTCATTTGTATTTATTTGCAATTAATTTATAAGAGTTTAGTACAACACTTTCCATTCTGTGGATATTCAGTATATATTGACTGAACAACAAAATAAATTTGCGTTCTAATAATATTTCAGCCCTTAAGGAAGTTAGCTTAGATCTAGATTTCATACCGATATTGACCTGTCACCAAGCAACAGAACTCCATATTTCTGAAGCATTGGAACTCACTCTAAAAATAAATCCTAATATAAATGTCATTATTTAAGACTCTTCCTTTTGACTAGCTTAATTAGTCTTGCTCTAACCTGTTCTCTTTAAGTCAAAGGAAAGTCCAGAAAATCATCTTTCTTTAACTTGTCAGCAAGGTATATACATTCAGCCAATAAACAAATAAAGGCCAATTTGCTAATTTTGCCTTGCATAACAGCACAGAATCATATTTATCCTTAAGTAATTCATATGTTAAGGACAATCCAGCAGCCAGTACTGTGCTAAAAATGAAATGAAAGTTTAAAAATTTTAACATTAGCTACCAAAATTAGATTTGTAATATCATTTTCTCTGTTCAGCTTAAACAAATAGAATAAAGCATGGGATTCTTGATCTGTTGCTCAGCATGTTGATTTAAGTAAGTACTCTTTTGGGAATGGGTCAGATTCATTGTGAGAATATTCAACAGTGCCTACTGATGAGAAAGGAGACATGAAAATGGAGAATCTGATTATGAATTACTTTCGTTTTACTCTTACCTCTTCAATTATTCCTTCCCAGATTCTACTACAAAGGCTCTGTCATGAGTAGTCTTCTATTTCTGTTCTTTCCTTTGGTGAACTCACAAATTTGCATTGTTTCAACATTCACCTCTTGAATCTCTAACCCTGGGCTCCTTCTTGATCTTGTCTTGCATTACTAAAAAAATTTTTAGTTGTAGATGGACACACTTTTATTTATTTTTACGTGGTGCTGAGGATTGGACCCAGTGCCTCACATGTGCTAGGCAAGCGCTCTATCACTGAGTGATAACCCCAGCTTGTCTTGATTTTATATTATCAGTTCAACTGCTCTATCTAGATGTTCTACTAGCATCTAAAACTTAACGTGGCCAAAAGCAAGATCTGCATTTCCTAAACAAGATCTCCTGACTTGGTCCCTATTTGTTAAAGGCATTATTATTGTCTTAATTTTGGCATCATCTATGAACCCTATTCCTTTTTTTTTTTTACTTCTAATAAACAATCCATTGTTAAGTGTTGTTGACTCTACCTCACATCTCTGACATATTTTCCTTCCACGGTACCATTTTACCATCACTCTAGTACAAACTGCTATTACTACTTACCTAGATTATTACTTTAGCCTCATAACTAATTGGTAAATATTATCTGAAAAAAATGTATGAACTGAATGGTATCTCTACTTTAATCTGTCTTCTACAACAAGGCCAGAATAATTCCCTAAAGCATAACTCTAACTTTATTAATTTTCTCCTCAAAATAAAGGTTCTAAGGGGTTGGGGATATAGCTCAGTTGGTAGAATGCTTGCCTCGCATGCACACGGCCCTGGATTCAATTCCCAGCACCGCAAAAATAAACAAATAAAAGTTCCTATTTCTTATATAATTAAATATATATACTGTTGTTGTTTTGTTTTACAGTTAAGGCATTTAACATCAGGAGCTCTATTTATTTCCAAGCTTACTTCCCATTCCTCTAAAACAGTTTTCCCTCATTGGAGGCAAGATAGACCATTCACTTCTCTATACATTCTATATGCTTTCCCTAGACCATCGTTTAAATTATTTCTATGCCTGTAACAATCCTACTCCTTGATCCAGGCCTGTCTCAGATGCCATCTCCTCTGTGTAACACTTCCTGATTTCTCGTCATAGTGATTACTTCTATCTTTACCCTAAAACAACACTTGGCTGGTAGTTCTTTAAATCATTTATGACCTACTTTGTATTAAAGCAATAAAATAAAAGTGGCCATAATCTGTATGAATTGTGGGAAGAAATTAGCTTTAGTTATATTTAAATGCAATGCCAAGAACAGTAGTTATAAGTTGTCAATATATTTTCAGAGTAGGGAAAAGAATGTGTAAATAGAAGGAAATGTGATACAGGAAAGAAAGAAGTGGCAAGACCCAGGTTTTAAACAAACTATTAATCTTCATATATAAAAAGAATAACCAAATTATTGCCAATTTCATTTATATTTTATGCAAACACTTTTTACCATAGTTTTGAACATTTAAATTTTATTTTAACATTTATATTTAACTACCCACCAGGTATAGTTCTAAGCTTTTTGAATGTTAATTTACTTAATCTTTATAATAACCCAGTTTTATAAATTAGGAAACTGAGGCATGGAGACAAAGCAACTTGCCCAAGATTACAAGGTTAATTAGAGTCCAGGCAGTCTGACTCCAGAGACCACATTCTACATGGTGACAATATATTATACCTTTCAATGTATATGTGCCTGATTTTTTAATCTGAATAAATTGAAAATAAATATTATTTCCTTGAAAACTCAGTTGTCATTACAACTTTGCTTTACAGTATAATGAAAAATAGGCTGCTGAATTACAGAATCCCTATAATGAACACACCCAACTTTTGTGGCTTTTTGTTTCCTCTTTATTCAGTTTCCCATTTTTCCCCTTGATGTTGAACTGTTATTTACCACTTAAGGCTATCAAGCACCTAAGATTCCTTCATCTTCTTTTTAATTTACTGGGAACTGGGGATCATACTGACTCAAAAATATGTATTAAAAAAGAGCCAAGATGACTCTGAGGAATGTCTTTTATAAAGTTCCTTGAGTTTTGTTACAACCAATGTTCCTGTATTTTATATTGGATTTTAGGAGCGAATTCCATTAAGTTAAAGCTGTTAGATGTATGATCTAGAGATAATATATTACCATATAATTTCTGCTCATTGCATAAAATAATTATATAAACTAAACGATGATCCTAAAAGTTGGCCATGCTTCCCGAGGTGTGGCTTATACTAACTCAGAGTTCATGACTACAATGACTACAGAATGTCCCAGTATTTCTTAGCACAGCAACAAAACAATACATTTCTCTCCTTCTTACCTTTGCACCACCCAAAAATCCTAAGGAAATGGCAACTCTAGCTCGTAGATCTGGTCTGTCTTTGGGCCATACATATGAAAGCATTGCTTTTATGATTTTCCGAGTATCAACATCTTTTAACTGTTCAAAGAGAGAAAACAAAGCAATAAAATGTCATTCCAAATGTAACCATAGGTTAGTAATGTAGAATTATGCAAATACTTGAGAAATACACAAAATTTTATATATAACTTTTATTATAAATCTAAGGCCATTATTTCCAAACTTAAGATACTTTGGAGAAAAATAAACTATTTCAATTGTTTTTTTTTAAAAAAGCTACTCATTTCTCTTAGATTTCTTACTTTTAACTATAGTAATCCACATAATACTAAAAAATAGTTGAGTAATGGCAAGGGGGCATATACTATACATTTATTTTTTATTTTTTTATCTATTAAGCCATATACCACTACATATAACTTTACAAATATTTCCACCTTTGTAGTCAATTGTGGAATCCTAGGTTCAAACTCATGGTAAAGAAGAATTACAATATTGCATTTAGGAAAGTAGGGGTTTTGGTATTGGCTATATTAAGCAGAGGTGGTTATTAAAAATGTCAACAAAAATGCAATTTTCCAGTCATAATCAATCTACCCTAAATTCAGCTCACAATTTTCTTTTTTCCATCTTCCTGGGGCAACAGTTCCATTAAGTCTTTTGGTTTTGGTTTCGGCTTTAGAGGTGGAATATTAAGAATCATATCCAAGCTGGGTGTGTTGGTGCATGCCTGTAATCCCAGCTGCTCTGGAGGCTGAGGCAGGAGGATCATGAGATCAAAGCCAGCCTCAGCAATGGCGAGGCACTAAGCAATTCAGTGAGACCCTATCTCTAAATAAAAAAAACACAAAAAAAGGGCTGGGGATGTGGCTCAGTGGTTGAGTACCCCTGAGTTCAATCCATAGTAACCCCCCCCCACAAAAAGAAGAAGAATCATATCCAACTAAGCATGGTGCCACATGTCTTTAATCCCAGTGGCTCCAGAGGCCGAGGCAGGATGATTACGAATTCAAAGTCAGTCTCGGAAACTTTGTGAGGCCCTAAGCAACTCAGACAGACCCTGTCTCTATGTAAAATATTAAAAATTGTCTGGGGATGTGGCTAAGTAGTTAAGTGAACCTCTGGGTTCAATTGCCCACCCGCAAAAAGAATCATATCTATACTTCCTAAAACCAAAATAAGGATGTGTGTGTGTGTGTGTCACACACACACACACACACACACACACACTACATCATTATACTTGGTATAAAAGTCCCCATTCAAAAAGTTGAAATATTAACTCAATTTCTGGAAAAGTTTCAAAAAAGAAAAGGAAAAGATGATGCTCATTGCTGGTGATGGTGTACAGAAATAAGCATTCTAATGCACTATTAATGAAGAGTACTCTGAAATAATCTTAGAAAGCAATCTGATATCTATTTTAAGCCTTTAAAATAATTCTGCCCTTTGTCTCAAAAATTCAACTTCTGGGAACTTATGCTAAAAACATCTTTAAAATATGCCCCAAGTTGAATCAACTTTACCTCTTGAAAATCTCTTGAATTTGCCTACCACCAACATACCACCAAGCTATCATCAATACTCACAGTGATTCAGTCACTGCAATGACCTCCTAAATTATCTCCCTGCATCTACTCTGTTCCCTATCTAATAAATTCACCTGTAATCAGATAGCACTTCCAGCTTAAAGCCATTAGGCAGCATCCAATCATCCTTGGAATAAAGAACAAAGCCTATAACATAGCTTACAAGGCTCTGCTTAGCTTGGCCCCTGACTCCTTTTCAGTCATGACTTATAGCACTGCACTTGCTGCACTGGCTTTCTTTTAGTTCCTCTAACATGCCATAATCCCTCCTGCTAAAGGGCCTTTGTGCAATAGTGTTCACTGTGTCTAGAATAATCTCTTTTTGCAATACATCCCTTCCCAGCCCTACAACCTTTTCAAAAGGATCCACTTCAGTTATAATCTACCTATACAGCAGTATGATCACTTGATTGACATCCACTCTCCTGCTAGAATTTAAATTCCATGTGAGTAGTAACTCTGTGTTTTGTACTCACAGTTGTAATCCAGTACCAAATGTAGTGGCTGACATACAGTAGTTACTCAATGAGTATTGCATAAAGGAATGAAAATTTAGTTAGAAGGATGTTTATGTTCATGCTGTTTTAATAGAAATAAAATTGGAAATAGTGTAAATGATCAACATTGTAGAATAGCATAAACAAATTAGAGTGAATACATATAACAAAACACATTCATTCAGAAATATATGTAGTGACGCAAAAACATGTTAAATGGATAAAAACAGAATAAAAAACTTATTTTGTGGGGAAAAAACATGACATATGAATGAGTCACATGTACATACAAACGGATACAGAAAGCAAGACCCCCCAAAGTGTTAACAACAGTAGCTGGAGTGGGTGGAATCTTTGATAATTTTTTATATTCTTCTTTTTGGTTCCTTGTATTTTCTATAATTTACACATAATAAAAAAAATTAATTCATTTCAAAGGGGAAAGGGTTATACAATTTCAAGTATATTTTCACAGCAAGGAATAGGGAAAACTGTCAACATATAAGAAACCCAAGACAGAACATTATATAATACAGGGTACTTTTATATTATGATTATCCCCATAGGGCTCAGAAAATTATTTTGCTAGTCTTTTAGGCAGTTTATTGTGCAAAACATAACAGAAATAAAACTGTTCATATTGTACTGAAAACAGAAGGACTACCAACCTGAAATGCTTTAAATAAATAAGATGGCACAAATATGAAATGCTAAAAGTATAGTTTTTAATACTTTTATTTCACATACACACATACGCGCGCGCGCGCACACACACACACACACACACACTAGTGCTCTTATAACTGGTAAGGCATTAAAAAAAGGAAATAAGGCAGTAATTTTAAAATTCACTTTTCCAATCGAACTATTACAAAATAAATATAACTTAATGCATTATAACACAAACTGGGGCATTTCAACCACTTTCCCATTGCATGAATTTTTTTCTGCCATATTTTTCTTGATGGACTAATGGTAAAAAGGCCCTGTTTCCACATATCTTTAGAAACACTCTCTCCTGTCAAAACCTTCTACAACACACCCCAGAATTTTTTCAATAAGGACACAGAGAAGTTATGGCTAAGAGCAAGAAAATTATTCTAGTTGGCTTAATAGTGCATAAAATGTCACCACTTCATTTAACAAAATGGGTTCTGAAGTTGTGTAATCATGCATTATGAGTCCATTAAGCTGTAAAGGACATGACTTCAGCTATAGTTTAGATAAACTATAAAGTTTGAAAAATAATGTCTTTTTTTTAAAAAAAAGTGGAGGCCAAATCAATGAGGCATTTCAGATGCTACTGAGGCACATTTTTAAAGAAAATTTAAACCAACTTACTCCTGTTGTATAAGAATAAAATAAAATCGGTGGCCTCAATAAAGATCCTGAAAGATAATACACCATCTTTCAAAATTACCTCAGTTAATTAATACTGGACACCCAAGGGTAATCCTGAAAGACAAAAGGATTATTTAAAACTAGAAAGAGACCAGCCGCTAGCTTGGGACAGAATTAGCAACACTTTTCACTCCAATTCAGTAGGATATAAACAGATAACACCAATAGTATACATACCTCTTTAAGACCATGTTCTTCTTTTGTTGTTGTTTTTAAATTAAATTTCTTAACTGGTTCATTAAAGTATAAAAACTATACATATTAATGGGGCAATGTGATATTTCAATACATGTATGTAATGTGTAATGTTTAATTCAGGTAAAAATCTCCCAAACATGTATAATTTATTTATGGTAAAATCTTCCAGAATTCTTTATTCTAGTTTTCTGAAATGTATGGTATACTTTTATTACCTATAATCACCCTATTGTTCAATAAACAGTATACCAGAACATCTTGTTCCTACATAACTGTAGCTTAGATACATACTGATTGACTTTTCCCAGTTCCTACCTTCCCTCTATTCTCCCCAGCCTTTGGTTACCACATTCTATCTCAACTTCTTTGAGATCGATTTTTTTTTAGATTCCACATGAGTGATCATGTGGTACTTCTCTTTGTATTCCTGGCTTATCTCATTTAACATAATGATTGATTTCCAGTTCTATCCATGTTAATGCAAATGACAGAATTTCATTCCTTTTTATGGCTAAATAGTATTCCACTGCTGTATATGTACCAAAATGTCTTTATCCATTTATCAGTTGATGGAGACTTAGGCTGTTATCATTTCTTGGCTACTGTGAATAGTGCTACCATGAACCTTGGAGTGCAGATATACTGATTTCTATTCTTTTGTGTATTCAAACCTAGGCATGGGGTTGCTCTATCATATGTAGTTCTATTTTTAATTTTTTGAGGAATTTCCATCCTGTTTTCCACAATGATTGAATGAATTTACATTACATTACTACCAATGGTGTGCATCTTTAATCTTTTTTATAATAGCCTTTCTTACCAGGGTGGGGTGATAGCTGATTGTAAGGAAATGTTGATTTGCATTTCCCTGATGATTAATGATACTGAGTGATACCTGTTGGCCCCATTTGTATATTTTCTTTGAGAAAAGTTTATTTAGATCTAGTGCTCATATTTTCACTTTTTTCTTTCTTTTCTCTCTCTCTCTCTCTCTCTCTCTCTCTCTCTCTCTCTCTGCTACTGAGTTATTAGAGTTCCTTATTTATTCTGGATAGCAACCCCTTGTCACATTACAGTTTGCAAATATTTTCTCTTGTTTTGTAGGTTGTCTCTGCACTCCATCAATGATTTCCTTTGCCATGCAGAAGATTTTTTGCTTGATGTAATCCCATTTGTCCCTTTTTGCTTTGGGGATTTGTCTGAAAAATCCTTGTCCATTTCAATGTACTAGAGTGTTTTGCTACATTTTCTTCTAGTAGTGTCATGTCTTGCAATTAATTATTTGATGCAGTTTGAGTGGACTTTTGTAACTGGTGACAGATAGAGGTATAGCTTCATTGATCTATATGTAGATATGCAATTTCGGAAACACTGTCCTTTCTCCAATATATGT